CACTACTTATATATGAATAAATAGATATTTTTTCTTATGAATAAATAGATTAGTTTTTTTTTTTTATCAAAAAACTTTATTTATGCGAGTACTATTTATTGTTGGCAAGAAAAAATTTTGTGGTTCTTTAAAAACTTTGAAATTTTGTAAATTGTAATTTTGGCTCTTCCGACTCAAAAGGTTGCCGACCCCTGTCCATGACCAATAAACTGATTTGGATGAAATTTAAAAATAGTGTCAATCAGTAGTATGGACATGTTAAATTTTGAATAAATCAATTGAACTTATTTGATCAACATTTTGTTGTCTAAATTTATGAGAGAAAATAGTAACACAAGCTACCAAACAATCTAGGAGCATGCATATGTTTAATAGTTCATTCAAAGGCTGACTGTCTCCTACTTGACCTTTTCAAAGTTTTATTTTAAAACATTGAGTACTTATAAAATAATGTAAAATATTATTAGTCAATCAGTTTTCACATGACATGATGTAGTGCAGGCTGTTGTGACTGTCAGATGAAAATAAAATTATCATGAAAACTATTCTATTATGAAGTTAACTAATTTATGACTGAATAATACTTGAAATCCCATAAAAAACTGGTAAAACCAGGTTAAAAAATAAACATCAGTGAAAACATCAAATAAAGGAAACTTTTAACCTATCCTGTGTTATTCCAAGTATTTTTGTGTTGATCTCATGTGACCTAACCCGTTGACCCCGAATATATTAGGTTCTGCATTGAACGTTTTTGATACTAGATGAATATTTTTAATGAATGTAATGTTAGAAATTTTCAATAAATACTTGTTACTTCTGTTCAAATATTTGAACAAACTTTCTAATAAGTCACAATTTTTATTAAACATTCTAGCATTTTTCAAAACTATATGCATGATAAATTTTGGCCAGAATATGACATGAAAATTATAGGAAATTCTCTTCTTCCAGAAAATTCTAAATTAAATTTATTATAATTATTAAATCTAGCATGAGATGACAGCATAACTTCCTATTACCCTGAACTCAGCTTCTACTGTACAATTTTAGATGCGGTTTATGGGAAAATTAAATATATTTTTAGACCCATCTAACAATTCTCTAATTAGTCTCGGAAGAGGATGAATCTAATTCTTGCACCCGGTGAAAACGGGTAAGATCATCTATAATCTAATAATCTTAATATTTTTCGTTATTTTTTGCTTAAGCAACGCCAGGCTCGTCTGCTAATAGATATAAATATATTAGCGATGGGACGATACCAAATTTCTCCCGATTCCGATTCTTTCAGCATTAAAACAAGACCTCGGTTACGTTTTTAACGGTGCGTGTCTATATGGTTTAATATTTTTGTTCTCGAGCGTAATCGTAGTTGTGCCACCCCAATTACCTATCGTAAATGGCGATCCCGATTGGGTTTTAATATTGAACAGACCTTACGAAATGGCATGTGAATAATTACACAAAACTGTCGGTTTTGCGAGATAAAACTGCTTAATTATATTGAAGCAACTTTATCTTACTAGTTTAGAAAATAAGGGATGAAAATACAAGTTGGATACAAGCCGAAAACATTTTATCAACATTTTTATTGAATATTGCACTAAGTGCAAAAATAATAATAAACTTCAAAACATGTTGAAATTTCTTTGGAGTTCAAACATATTTTTAATACATATATATGTACAAGATGATTAAAAAACTAAGCAAAATCAAATGCAATTATTATTTTACAAAAATATCCCACGAGTTTAGATAACATTAAATTTAGTTTAATTTTTGGAAATTTTATATACAGAAATTAAAATGCAAATTTGTCGGCGGCATAATTTCAAACCTGGTTAAGGTTGGAAATTACAAGGCATGTTTAATAGATGACCAATGTAAAAAATTATATTTCAAGGTAAATAAATACTTGAAGTATGTGGGAAAGTCTTGTAAAATATAATTTAATTCCTTAATTTTTTTTTTTTTTTTGTTTCCTTCGTCGCTTTCTATTGCTTTTCAAAGTGTTCGTTTTCTTCGTTCGAAACTTATCTTCTGTTTTTTCTCTCCGCATGGTTTTCGCCCACGCCTAAACAAATGCGAGAAGGAACCATACCCCAAGGATAGGATCATCACAATACGTATCACATGCACGAATCAACGAATATCGCGCTTCGGAAAAACGACGAAAATACGACAGGATATCAGAAAGCGAATTCACTTTATTTCGTGTGCAGGACAGTTATATTGCAGTCTGTAGCAGACGTTTTTTAACATATGGAGTCGTGGGAATCCTCGCCTGCAAGAGTAAGCCTATACACGTTATCTACGAACAACGACAGGAACCATTTATCGATCCTGTTCGCCTAGTGTCTGTATTTTGTCTTATACTTTCTGGCAGTAATGGTATCGGATGCATTCTGCAATATGAAGCAAGGTGTTTTTCATCATTAATTTAATACGAGTATATCTCGACGCAAGGCCACAGCAGAGCCTTTACTCGAAAGATAATGGGCCTTGGAAAATGAATAATCTTTAAGAAACTCAGTTAATCTTTAGTAAATCGCTGGCGTCATCGTCGATTGCCGATATTTTCGGTAAACGATGATGTCAGAGATAATTTAAAGGAACGAATATTTCAACTGTCAAAGAAAATAAAAATCGAAGGAAAGTCTTTTTCGGGACGAATTACACGAAATAGAATCGCAACAATGTCGGCAATTACTGTCTCTTCAGTTCTGTGAGTCCATTCATTATATATATAATCCGTTGAATTACGCGCAGCAAACAAAATCGCATGTATCTTAGTAAGTATTGTTGTGGACCCAAGCGAATTCTTTTACTCGGAATGAATCCAGGACAGTTTTGAATGGCTCAAAATGTACAGTAGTTCCATTAGGAGAAATATCCACTTTCTTCAAGTACAGTTTTGTTCATAATTATTGCTCACTTTCTTTCTTATTCAAAACTCGTAAAAATATCACCCCATCTCAGTTAAACGTCAAAACACCGTANAAAATCTTCGATAAAACGAAGAATTGAAATCCCACAGGTATTCGTGAGCCTGAATAAGCTCGATCAATCTCGATTCTGTAAAAGTATTAATCCTCTGACTATCCGCCATGATGATTAACTATTTTCAATGTTGTCACTGTATGACATGGCGTAAAGGCGTTTGTTGATTGGATGCGCGTTTGCAATCGTCGCGAGTAGAGCAAACTTTTTGTTTCTAGTTGCGATTGCAGTCGCGCCGGTTTTCGAGGGGGGATTACTAGTTAACGGGAACAGCCGTCGCGGTTGCAGTCGCCTGCGCGGCTAGAAATCGCATAGTGTGACCAGGGCTTAACGGGAACAGCCGTCGCGGTTGCAGTCGCCTGCGCGGCTGGAAATCGCGTAGTGTGACCAGGGCTTTAGAAGTACTGTACATGCGTCACTATTTATATCACAAGGGTCGATCAGCGAATGAAAACAGTCACGTGATCATAAAAAACACTTCCGACGTTACCGCTGTAGTGTGACACGTCGATTACTCACAGATGATGATAATCTGTAGAGTCGATCGCCTGGTTCGAGCCGAGCTTTACAAATCTAGTGTAAAAAATTAATTTTAATTGCTCTATTTTACATTGTTTTGTATTTTAATTCTTATTGGGTGTTTTTTTTAACGAGAGGAAGTAATCTCGTACTGTACGACTCTACCAACAGAATGTGTGTTGTAAATAAACGAATTATCTCCGCAAGTCACACCAGTGTCGATGTGGATTTTTGTTGTGTCAGTCATTGACATTGTGGCACCTTGCTTGTTCGTGAAAGGCATTATATTTATACATTAAATAGTTTTAAGACTGGAATACTTGACTTATCCTAATCACCGTAGTCATTAGAGGTTCGCTATAATTTTGACTCTGATAGCAGTAATTTTTTCAAAATAAATGACCAGAAACCTTGCATAAAAGCTTAAGTAACCGCGTTACATCCTTTTTTTCCCAACTGTTTATATATCTATTTATATATAATCGAGATGGATTGGGCTAATAAGTGCAGAGTTGAAAGTTGGTACACAGTCAGGGTACAGGAACGTCATGAGAATGTACTGTAAACTAAGAAGAGACTTTTGGAAACTCCCCCTGTAGGGGAGTGTTAAGGATTACCCTGAACTCAGCTTCTACTGTACAATTTTAGATGCGGTTTATGGGAAAATTAAATATATTTTTAGATCCATCTAACAATTCTCTAATTAGTCTCGGAAGAGGATTAATCTAATTCTTGCACCCGGTGAAAACGGGTAAGATCATCTATAATCTAATAATCTTAATATTTTTCGTTATTTTTTGCTTAAGCAACGCCAGGCTCGTCTGCTAATAGATATAAATATATTAGCGATGGGACGATACCAAATTTCTCCCGATTCCGATTCTTTCAGCATTAAAACAAGACCTCGGTTACGTTTTTAACGGTGCGTGTCTATATGGTTTAATATTTTTGTTCTCGAGCGTAATCGTAGTTGTGCCACCCCAATTACCTATCGTAAATGGCGATCCCGATTGGGTTTTAATATTGAACAGACCTTACGAAATGGCATGTGAATAATTACACAAAACTGTCGGTTTTGCGAGATAAAACTGCTTAATTATATTGAAGCAACTTTATCTTACTAGTTTAGAAAATAAGGGATGAAAATACAAGTTGGATACAAGCCGAAAACATTTTATCAACATTTTTATTGAATATTGCACTAAGTGCAAAAATAATAATAAACTTCAAAACATGTTGAAATTTCTTTGGAGTTCAAACATATTTTTAATACATATATATGTACAAGATGATTAAAAAACTAAGCAAAATCAAATGCAATTATTATTTTACAAAAATATCCCACGAGTTTAGATAACATTAAATTTAGTTTAATTTTTGGAAATTTTATATACAGAAATTAAAATGCAAATTTGTCGGCGGCATAATTTCAAACCTGGTTAAGGTTGGAAATTACAAGGCATGTTTAATAGATGACCAATGTAAAAAATTATATTTCAAGGTAAATAAATACTTGAAGTATGTGGGAAAGTCTTGTAAAATATAATTTAATTCCTTAATTTTTTTTTTTTTTTTGGTTTTCTTCGAGTTCGTGCGTACGTACAGTACATGTATATAAATTATTATATATATACACATTAAAATACATTTTCTAAATAAACTTATGGGATATTCGGTTTGGAGTTCGTAAATTCATTTCTTAAATAGGGAAACGTTTAATTTTTCAACCAACCAATTTTTCCATCACTTCTCAAATATACATAAAATATCATAAAAATCTCAATTCTAACCATATTTGATAGAAATTTAACATATAATTTTTTATAGTATTGTTAATACTGACCGTAGATTAGATTACAGTTTCTGTGCTAGTCGTTCCGTTCTGTTTGGTGTGAATGTAACCGTCGGCGGTCGGGAAAGATTCGTTCGGAGAGTGTATGTAAGCCAACTGTTCCTCGTAGGCGCACGATAATGCGAAGGACGGACTACCCGTCTGCGTCGACCGTTCTTCCATGTTCGTTAGATGTCTGTTACACTTGCAGTCGTCGCACTTGTCCAGTTTTTTTGCGTTTCTTTCACGCGTCCGTTCTTCCAAAACTTTCGCCATGATTGCCGCCGAAACATAGTCGGACGACACTCCTCCGGAGTTCTGGGAGACTGCATCGTCGTCATTTTTTGCGGTGTGTATTGCATTTACGGAATAAACCATTGCGGTGGGAGGAAAAGTTGGTATGGGAACGCGAATCGTACGGTACTCTGGTCCGTTATTCTTTTTTGTGTCGTTTGTTTGATTCATATGCATCTTCACCTTTTCTTGAAGATCAATTGGCAACTAAAATAATATAAAGTATAATCATTCTATAATAGTATGAAAAATATAAATTATAATTGCTATTTTTTTTTTTTTGTTTCATCTCTACTAATTACATTAGTATTCAAAGCTAGATGATTGAATAAAAATATATTTTTTTTAAAAATCATTCAAAATTAAAGTAATGGCTTTGATTATAATTAGATAAAATTTGATAACGTATAATATTTTATGATGTCTTTGTGAAAAATAAAAAAAATCAGTAGCAAGCATATAACAAAAATGTTTCACACATCAATATCCTTCCTATTGAAGTAACATTTATTACATTTATTGAAGTAAACTTAATTACATTGGATGATGTAATTAAGTTTTTTCAGAACTAAAATGCAAAATACCTAAACAAGTAGATATTTTTAAGATGCTGCTAAAACAATCATAAATTATCAATCAAGAAGAAAGAATAAATTTTAAAACTATTGATCATAATTAACATTAGTTTTCAACTATTATCTTAATTGAAAAGAAAATTAAAACAATTATCTTATAATATGTAAACTGAATGTTAAAAATTGTTTATAAGATTTACTACTTAACTTATTAATAGAGAATAGTAATCAAGACCAGGAAAAAGAATATCTAAGAATGAAATACATCATCATAATTGTTAGTTATTTTAAAATGGTCATAAGTACTAATTATGGTAAGCAGAATTTCAAATTACTTGGCCAAAAACAGTCTGACTAAGCATATCACAAGTCATTAGGCAGAGTGAGCCATTAAAAATAGAGTTTTCTATATAATTCTCACCAACTATGTTGTGACAATCAATGAAAAAAAAAAATCAAGACAAAAAATTTTTGGGAAAAAATTTAAAAATTTTGGGATCATTATTTGACCGATCGTCATATTTTCTATAATTTCATGTTGTACAAATCACTTAGATTTTNACTCTCTTATGACTGGATCTAGTTTGAAAAACTCTCATGTCAATCATGATTGAACCTTGTTTTGAGTTGAGATTTAAATGGTTGAGAGAGAGGTTGCACCATGGCACAGTCGCCAATCTTATCATAATCTAGATTGAAATGATCAGTGCAAATGGGGTATAAGGTTTAAGTACTTTACAGTCTCATATCCTTAATGTTTTGAAATCATTCTAGGAAAATTTTTCACTCTTATCATCGTGTAAATAAAATGTAAATATTAAATATATAAACTACTTACAATTTTTAATAACTTATCTTCAAGACCTTGATTAACTTTCTGTAATTTTTTATGACTATCATATAATCTACAAAATAAAATGATTAAAATGATCATCATTAAATTAAGATTTATATTTTATTACTACTAAAATTTAATTATGAAATTAATAATAAACTAGTAAAATAAATCAACATGGGATAGGTTAATATATTTTTTTGTACATAATCGGTTATCCGAAATATCGATTTTCCGAACAACCCCAGTCCCCAATTGATTTGGATAATCAACGCTCTACTGTAATTTGTTAGTTTGTGTACATCAAAAATGATTTAATCTGAAAGTCCAGCTTAATACTAAACTTTTATTTGTATGATTTATGAGAATTTTTTATATGAATTTAGTTAAAGATTTCTGACTTACCGAGCTTAATTTATGTGCAACAAAATTAGATGGCTTACATTGCAACAACTGTACAGCTATATTGCAGTCATTCCTATAGTGATTCTGAGAAAAAAAAATTGTATGTTAATAAGCAATTACTCGAAAAACACATTTTAAAAATTTATAAACAGTAAGCATTTTATTACATTCTCCTCCTCTAGTTCATTTATACAGATTCTTGCTCCAGCTAATTTCGAAGTCAGATCTGCAAGTTCTCGAGTTAACGTAGTTTTTTCAGTCTCAAACCTGTCAACCTAATTTTAATCACAACATACAAATGAGAAAAACTGGAATATTTTTACACATGGACTTAATTTCTATTTTAGAAATACAACAAATCATTTCAAAAGTATATTTTGTTTATTATATTATTTTCTAACAGTAGCACACAATTCATGTTCAGGAGAAAATTATTTCTTAATACCAATATTATGAAGTATTTTTATGATGAATTAAATTTTTGGAACTGAAGCAATACTATATATATCCTATTTTAAATTGTCTTAACCTTCAGATATCTGCAGAACAACTGACAGAAGCCAAAACATTAATTTAGTCTATAATTTTGAATTACACATGCACAGACAATTCTCCACTTTGGTACCTTCCCAAAATAATCAAGTAATACTGGCCTAAAAGTTATTTAAAGTGGTACTTCTGATATCTGGCAAAAATTTAACGTAATAAAGTTGCATGCACTTTATTATAACACAGCTATCTCCTTTACAAGATCAGGCACTTTCAATGATTGTATTATAAATATTTTGGTTTTATATATCAATTATTTTCTCTGAGTATAAAACATTCCATGATCAGAGTGCAGTAATGCTCTATAGAATACTTCAGCCATGTGTTAATGTTAAAGTTCTAGCTTTGATTTTTTATCTCCATGACCAGGGGTCGGCAACCTGCGGCTCGTGAGCCACATGTGGCTTTTTGGATGTGAAGCTGTGGCTCTTTAGTTCCATACGCAAATATTATTTATTTTATATAAAAAAAAAAAAAATTTAAAAATCGTTCTGAATTGATTAACGAGGATTAGGTACTGATTCTATCTCTCAGCCACTTGTACTCGCTTTTCACCGCACCCCTCCCCCGTGACACGCGTCGCCACTGTCGTCACTCCGTCAGAAGCTCTCGAATGACGCCGTCGTCGAATGTTTCTATTATCTAATTTGTTGTGAAAAACACTACTTATATATGAATAAATAGATATTTTTTCTTATGAATAAATAGATTAGTTTTTTTTTTTTATCAAAAAACTTTATTTATGCGAGTACTATTTATTGTTGGCAAGAAAAAATTTTGTGGTTCTTTAAAAACTTTGAAATTTTGTAAATTGTAATTTTGGCTCTTCCGACTCAAAAGGTTGCCGACCCCTGTCCATGACCAATAAACTGATTTGGATGAAATTTAAAAATAGTGTCAATCAGTAGTATGGACATGTTAAATTTTGAATAAATCAATTGAACTTATTTGATCAACATTTTGTTGTCTAAATTTATGAGAGAAAATAGTAACACAAGCTACCAAACAATCTAGGAGCATGCATATGTTTAATAGTTCATTCAAAGGCTGACTGTCTCCTACTTGACCTTTTCAAAGTTTTATTTTAAAACATTGAGTACTTATAAAATAATGTAAAATATTATTAGTCAATCAGTTTTCACATGACATGATGTAGTGCAGGCTGTTGTGACTGTCAGATGAAAATAAAATTATCATGAAAACTATTCTATTATGAAGTTAACTAATTTATGACTGAATAATACTTGAAATCCCATAAAAAACTGGTAAAACCAGGTTAAAAAATAAACATCAGTGAAAACATCAAATAAAGGAAACTTTTAACCTATCCTGTGTTATTCCAAGTATTTTTGTGTTGATCTCATGTGACCTAACCCGTTGACCCCGAATATATTAGGTTCTGCATTGAACGTTTTTGATACTAGATGTTGCTATTATATTTTAACATAAAAATTATGCATCATAATTTTTATGTTAAAATGAACTTTCGAAATATAATTTTTTTTGTTTTTTATATTTTTCAATATATTTATTTAGTTTGTGCAAAATATAAAAAAAATAATTTTTGACGATACAGTAGCCATGATCATTATTTAAAAAAAAAAAAAAAATGTTCATTAGGCTTAACACCGACAAAAATTCAACATGGCGGCCACACGCAATGGAGAAAAATTTCAACATGGGATAGGTTAAAAGTTATGACAAGAATATTTGATAGTAAGACTCAACATCTGAATAAAGTGCACATTACAGAGACTACAGCTACAGGAAGTTTTAGACAAAGCAACATCACCACAATAAAGCAAGAAAACAAGCATTGTGATAGAAAAGGGGCTACAAACTTTATTTTATGCCTTAAATTCCTTCACTAATATTGCTCATGTTCACCCAAATTACTGGTTCAACAACTTTAATACTGTGTTTGCACACAATCCATGATTCATTTTAATCTTGATTGCAACTGTCATCAGTCAAATGTCGAGCTGTTTACACAAGCAGTCCACTTGAGAAGAACCTGGCTATTGCATGTGATGATAAAACTGACAACTATGTGATAAGTCATAAACACCAACAAACAAAATGGAAGCTGGTAACGAAGATATGTTACTGGTAGGCCTATATGCAGCAAAGTTATTGGACATCTGCAATGAAATGACTGCAAACAGAAATTGTTTAGGTTATTTGCTCAACATACGTCAATGTCTTTGTTCCTCTTCATACCATAAGATGTTGCTATGTAATTTACTGCAGAATCATGCTTCAAGTTGTTTGAAATGCATGAGATTGTGGGAACTCTCTTATGACTGGATCTAGTTTGAAAAACTCTCATGTCAATCATGATTGAACCTTGTTTTGAGTTGAGATTTAAATGGTTGAGAGAGAGGTTGCACCATGGCACAGTCGCCAATCTTATCATAATCTAGATTGAAATGATCAGTGCAAATGGGGTATAAGGTTTAAGTACTTTACAGTCTCATATCCTTAATGTTTTGAAATCATTCTAGGAAAATTTTTCACTCTTATCATCGTGTAAATAAAATGTAAATATTAAATATATAAACTACTTACAATTTTTAATAACTTATCTTCAAGACCTTGATTAACTTTCTGTAATTTTTTATGACTATCATATAATCTACAAAATAAAATGATTAAAATGATCATCATTAAATTAAGATTTATATTTTATTACTACTAAAATTTAATTATGAAATTAATAATAAACTAGTAAAATAAAAATTCATTATTACTGACTGGAATAAACTTAATTGACAAATAGTTATCATTCAATGATTTTGAGTAAATATAGCAATTATTCTACTATGTTTGTAGAATTTTATTCTAGTAAAGATAATTTTTCATCAAGATTTAATTTGTTATCCTTACATTTTAGTTTTTAAAATTCATAAGTATTTAATGGAACTGGCATTTGGATCTGCTGATGGAACTTAAATGCAATATAACTGAAACTTTGAAGCAGGTAATTGACATGTTTATTTTAATTTTTACTATCTGTTTTATTTAGTTAAAAAATGTATTTAAAATGGCAAACAATATTAATAAATACAGAAATGTACATAACTGCTAAATTTTAAAGAAGTTAGTGTTTAATAGTTATTGGCAGAGTTTTAACTTTAATTCAAATCAAATATACCATTAAAAATTTAATAAAAACTAACCTATCATATTTTTCACTCCAAAATTGAAGTTCTTGTTTTAAGGCCTCCCATTCACCATTTGGATATTGTCTAGCATGATTCATCATATTAGTTTCCATTTGGACTATATGATGATCTCTTTCGAGAAGTTGCTGTTTTAATACTTCAATTTCTTGATGGAGGTGCAAACTATAAATAAAATATTTGTTATAAAGTAATTAAATTATTATATAAGATATAATTTCAACATAATTTTATAACAGTTTTAACAATTATATAATAAAATTTCATTAAAAATTTAAACTAAATTTCAAACTGTCAACGAAACTCTCATTTCTATAATGAGAATCATTTCATATAGAGCTGAAAATCTGAAAACATTACATTCTTAATTAATTATCAAAACCAAATTAAAATTTTATTTAAGTGTTTTTTGTGTATTGTATACTAGCAGACCCCGCAGGCGTTGTTGTGGCTCAAAATGTATCTATTATAAATGTATAAACTTCCCCCGTGGGGAGGAATTTTTTGAAAAATTTCTTCTTAGTGTACATTCTCTTGACGTACCCTATTAAAACGCAATCAAAAACGCAAAAACCCGCATCTAAAATAGTATAATAGAAGCCAAGTTTTTCACAGTAAGCCTTAATCCTGTCCCTCTCCC